TGCAGACTGCAGCTTGATGTACACGAACGATCAGCCCATCAACGATATTTGTCACGAAGCAGGCAGTAATACAGATCGAAAGATTCCGTACCCACCGAGGCACATGAAACAAAAACGGTCCTGAACCGCTAACACGGTACACCATATGACATCTCACCAAAGTCAAATAAATCAACTGAATGCTGGGGTGAAACAGCCACGAAAGCTGCGCAAGCTGTCATGTACCGGTGGTACTGCTGGCGAGTGCGGACAACGCCGTGACTAGGGTTTACATTTTGGCAGATATTTTGGCGCCAATTTTGAATAGCTTCGCCAGCAGTTTTCCAGATAGAGCTTAGCTTATCTCCGAATATTGAAAGCTAAGCTAAGCTGCAAAAGCTAAGCTTATGCCAACTATATACAATTACGAAGATGAGAACTAATAGCTGTTGTGATAATTAAATATATCTTAATAAAAAAATTTGTTTGTCTGACTAACTAGCTGGTTTTCCTTTCGTTAAAAAAAATATGAAAAAAGAAATTGAGAAATAAAATTCCATTATATATCATTGGGGCTTATTTGAATTTTTGGTCAACATTAAAATTAAAATCGATTTTGCCACAAGGTCTTCTGTAACGGGGTTACACGTACCCTGAGGGGTGTGTGTCACACGAGGTGTGCATTGTTGTGACTGCACCAAAACAAGAATACCGTATGCGCTAGGTAGCCAGTAGTTATGCATGTACAGTAAAACCTGTCTAAATTAAACATTTTGGGACAGGGAAACAGTGTTTAACTAAAAGAGGGTCTCAAATTAAACAGGTTTAATTTAAACAGGGTCCACTGTATGGTGCCCAACATGGGTCCATATCTTTTGTCTTATTTAGAGAGGGTTTTTAATTTAAACAGGTTTAATTAGACAGGTTCTACTGTATTTAGATTTTACAGCATATACTAGTAGAATCTATAAAACCACAACCCTTCTATTAAAATTTAATCAGAAATTACACTTAGCTACACTTAGCTGCACCACACCAGCTCTAGTAAGTACGACATCATTTTGGAAACTCAAACTTAGAACCGCAGAACATGGCTTTCTTCTCAATCGACTGCCGGAGTCATGGAAAGGAAGCTTGACCAGCGCTCATTGTTCTCGTCGTATTTCCACTTCAGACAAAAGCAAAATGTTTCTGGATTCTCCACGTAGACAAACGTCTTCATCATAAGTGGATCATCTGTCTCCACTGTTCCTTCTTTCAGACGACTGAAGACGCGATCTTTGCATCGTGCATCAAATACTTTCACGAAGATGTCGATCTATTCACAGAAGCGTAAGCATCCTTGACAACAGACAACATCAATACGTGCATACCTTGTATCTGTTGTCGACGGATTGAGCGCTGTCTACACAACCTGGAAATATGTTTACGATCGGAATGTCCATGCTGAGACCATCGTAAAAGCCATGCATATCGCGAGAAAGTGCAAGTCGATTGTTTGCGTCACGATCGTACTTGGCGAATTCTCGTTTGAAATCTCTGTCTGTACAATGCTTCTTTGACACCAAATGACAACTCTCCGCCTTACCATAGGGCAGGAAGTACCGCTCATGTTCGATCCGTTGATACTGAAACTCATCCGTCGAAGCGTCCAAATTCGACACACTCGTAGTCAACGAAAGGATCGACATTGTGTCTTGCAGTGACTCCGTATCATGTGGGTCATAATGGATGAAGTAGGCGCGCTGTAGTTCAGTGGGCACACATTCAACTTGAGCGACACTTGTGGTGACTGCTTGGCCATCCAGAGGAGAGCCCAGCGTCACTGGCTCTTCCTGTAAAGCATTGTCGAATCGCAAGGCATTTTCTTCTGCAATAGTAACACTCAAGTCAACACAAGCAGATTGCTACACAGCAACGAGATGCTCACCTGTCTTGAACAGAATATGGATGCACAAGGTCTTGTCTGCGCGACATTCTCGTCACCAGTGCGACGTGCAGGATCATAGTATCCAAGATATGTTCCAGCCAAGCGGTACAGTCTGCAGCGAACTCCTTTTGTTCTGAGAGCATTCGCGACTGATCCACGAACTAGCCATAAACCCGTCGTTCCAACCGTAGCTTCTATTTTTTTCGCCAATAAGAATTGTAATAAATTGATCATGTACGATCCAGCGTCTGTATCCTGCTCTGCACAAAAAATTTAGCAACAACATATACAAACAGCTAGGGTCGAGAATACGTACGCTTATATCTCAGCAAATTGGAAGGAGTAACCCCAATGTCAAAAGGAATACCAGCCGGAACCACCACCAGTACGTGAATTTGTTCTTCACCTGGTTGAAAATTATCGCCAAAAAGCATGGCATTCCTAATCCACAGGGTGGATCTCATCTTCACGTATCCTCGAGGGTTTCCACGTTCATCAAGCGCCACAGAAGCTACGCCAGCCTCATCCAGCCACACGCCGCCCTCT